AGTTGTAGCCTCTTCGGAGCATTAAGTGTACATTAGATTTTGGTTGACAGCATCAAAATCTTGTAATAACATTTCATTATTGATTACGGGAAAAAACTCCTCCTCTGCTGGTGATTTTTTCATCTCTTGAGTTTTCACATAAAATCTTATGCTCTTGTGTTTTGATTGCTTCTCATATTGTCACTGTATTTCTTTTATTTTTGACAAATCATTTGAATTATGGCTTTAAACAATTTTTGTGGGTTATTTGAGTTTAGGGATTTCTTGTTAAAGGTTTGGGAAGAGGTACTAGAAAACTGAGGAGATGAAGAGGAGGTATGAAATATTTATGGAGAATATGAGGCTTTCTTTTACTCTTGGTGTCAATGGTGGTTTCTTCTTTTCTTTGGAATTTAATCATTTTGTGGATCTTCATTTTTGTGAAGATATGTGTTTTTTGTGGTATATCATTAGTCATGTGAGCTACTCTTGACCTATTTCCTTGTAGAGACTTTTTATTTTTTGGCCTCTTAGAACATTAAATTGTAAATATCTATCTAGCTACAGTACTGATGTGTATAACTTTAATGAATGGAATATAAGTTTATCTTTCCTACTCAATTATTAGAGAAAACGAACTGTTGGTGTATGTACAACTAAATCTGCAATTTTTATCTTAAGATTGATGGAGACATTTGAAATAAAATGATTGTTTGTCAATATATGGAATAAAGGTTAAGTTTAATTCGTAGGAGTGTAATTAAACTCCATGAAAAAGTAAAAAACAAAAGAAAGAAGAAGAATGAAGATGTGGTGAGAAATAAGATCTAAGGCAAGTGATTGACACATTTTCTTTAAGATAAAATTGCCCATGAAATGGTGCTAACAGATTGTGGCACTTGTCCCCTCAAGACACAACGGATTCAACTTGTGGTAAAAGCACTTCAAACTACAAGCAACAGCGAACTTGAACAAAATACTTCTCTCTACAAGAAAAATTATTTTAGAATGATTTTGGTGAGGTTTTTGCAAGAGTTTTTATACAATGCTCAATGCAAATGATATGAAATACTTAATGAACGTCCAAAGGTCCTATTTATAGAAGGGGAGGGATTGTGAGTAAAATAACATGTCCCAAACTCCATAACCTTATTAAGGGAATCATCTCTTCATGTCGCTAACCTCTTGCTCGAGTGCCAGCACCATTTTTTTAACGAAAATTTTTTGCCAGCCTATCATTCGAGCGACAGTCCCATCTCTCGAGCGCTAGGCGATGATGAAGTTAGCCAAATTTCTTGTCATGTTTTCCTCTTTTCTTTCCAACGTTGGACCACAATTTTTCATTTATCCATAATTGATTTTAAGATTTCAAATACCATGACGAGTAAAACAAGTTCGTATATTTACATTTATAATTTGACTATTGGATCTAGTCCAAATATTTGGTCGAAAGTAACACAAAATCACTTTCCACATTTTATACTTAACCAAAATAATTTTAAACCAAATTCCGATAGTAACAACACTTCATTATTGATTATAGTGAAAAACTCCTCTTTGCCAGTGGTTTTTTCTCTCTTAAGTTTCCACATAAAATCTTGTGTTCTTGTGTTGTGATTGCTTTTCATAGCCATATTATTCCGTTTATTTCTGACAACTCATTTGAATTATGGCTTTAAACACTTTTTTATGGGTTATTTGAGCTTAGGGATTTCTTGTTAAAGGTCTAGGAAGAGGTACTAGAAAACTGAGGAGACGAAGAAGAGGTATGAAATATTTTTGAAGAATATTAGGATGATTAGATCGCATAACAATGAGGGGCTTTCTTACACTCTTGGTGTCAATGGTGATTTCTTTTTTCCTTTGGAATTTAATCATTTTGTAGATCCTCATTTGTGAAGATATGTGTTTTTTGTTGTATATCAATAGTAATTTGAGCTAGTCTTGACCCATTTCCTTGTAGACATTTTATTTTTTGGCCTTTTAGAACATTAAATTGTAAGTATCTATCTAGCTACAGTACTTATGTGTATGACCTTAATGAATGGGCAATAATTTTATCTTTCCTACTCAATTATTTGAGAAGTTGCTAAATCTACAATTGATTGGAAAGAGGGAAAGTGGACTACTGGTGTGTGTAGCTCTATGTATTTGTTTGAGTGTTATTTAAATTGCTCAACTTAGTGTTTAGGTGAGTGATTTCACTTTAACCTTTTAATTTAAGAATTCCAACTTGTTCTACAAATGAATCTTCAATATTGCATGTTTTAGAATAGAAGTATGAATATGTTTGTGAAGGAAGTAGATATCCTGAACTTCATTTTACAGCTTGCAATTCGGCGAATGAATTTACTTTTCTTACTTGAGTATGTATATAGATGTTCCCTTTTGGCTCACATATTACTCCTAATCGATTGTATTACTCTAACTGGACTACTTGTGCATCCATACTTACATGAACTACATCCATGATAACAAATTTGCTTTTTCTACTACTTTATGGGAGAGCACTTAGTTTTTCAATTAATGAAAGACAATAAGGTGGCTTCTAAGCGGTCTTCGAATCTTAGTTTCAACGTCACTTGTTGACAAGTCTTACACTGATACACTAGTAAACAGAGTTTGCTGATTTGACATGGGACGAGTTCTGTAGGCATAAGAGCTTCTCGAAACTACTATACGACCATGAGGTAATCATAGGCTTACTGATGTTCTCCTTCCTGAAATGGTACTTGTAGTCTCTCTTCCTTTGTTATTGATTTCAATATTATATTGAGAATTCTTTTGTTGTGATACGGTTTATTGTTCACTCTTTGTAATCTCCATACTCTATAAACTGTGAAAAATTTCATGATAATTTAATATAAGTTGGCAATTTTTCGACTGTATTCATTTTGAATGACCGAGAAAGTTTACTTTTTTTGCTTTGTGCTCTTTTCAGATAAGTATAGGACCATGAGTGTTAAGATTTAGGGTTCCATCTTAAAAGGTCAACATTATTAAGAGGGAGCCTAAAACCTTATAAGTTGGTCTATATTTACATCTTGATTTGATGTGGGATATTTTATCCCTTAACATGTCCATACAAGATGATGACTTGTTTGAACAGACCAATCTTAAAATTCGTGTGCTCATTTTTAGAGTCTTAACTGGATCGAATTGCTCGTTGGAGTTTAATGAGCTCTGATACCATATTATGACTTGGGGCTCCATCTTAAAAGGTCAACCTTGTTAAGAAGAGTAGCTCAAGACCTTATAAGTTTGTCTATACTTACATTTTTATTTGATGAGGGACATATTATCCCTTAACAATGTGATGCACCAATCTTTGTTAGACATGATTGATTCATTGATTGTGTAACTTCAAGCTTTATGAAAATTTAGACTTGTGGCTTACAAGTAGATGACAACAAATTGACTTTCTTTTCTTCTTTTTAGTTGTTGAATTTTATCATAACCGTCTAGTACACAAAAGTTTGACCAGTGAAAGTTTCTTCAAAGTCTTCACCATTTCAGACGCCCTCGCACTTTTTTTCTCTATCACTTTGGTCTGTCCTTCTTATCCATTTACACATCCCGCTATAAAGTTTGTGACTATCTTGTTGCCTTGCCCATCAGAGTGATTGCGGTCTAATTTCTTTGTTCTTCTCTCTCATATGTTTAGTGATAGCCTTTAGTTGTACGTTATTCCTTGTCTTTGCTAAAAAAAAATGTCCTGCTTCTCACACCAATAATCACACTCTCTTGCATACCTGTGATCTTGTATGTCATACTTCAGCTTCCTTCCCTCATTACTATGATCAGATCCACATTTTATTCGGACATTAACCATTGGTAAATATTTCATTGGAATGTACATTGTACTCTGAAGAAATTAAACTAAGGATTTAGTATCGTTACGAGTCATCAAAACTCGTTGATTTTGTGTCTATGTTTTAATTTGGTTGCTCAATTTGATGAGTCTGCGAGGTTGTGTAGTTTGATGAGTCTGTTATAATCCATGTTGTAATTTGGCTTCTAAGCGGTCTTCGAATCTTAGTTTCAACGTCACTTGTTGACAAGTCTTACACTGATACACTGGTAAACAGAGTTCAATGATTTGACATGGGACGAGTTCTGTAGGCATAGGAGCTTCTCGAAACTACTATACTACCATGAGGTAATCATAGGCTTACTGATGTTCTCCTTCCTGAAACAGTACTTGTAGTCTCTCTGCCTTTGTTATTGATTTTAATATTATCTTGAGAATTTTTTTGTTGTGATACGGTTTATTGTTCACTCTTTGTAATCTCCATACTCTATAAACTGTGAAAATTTTCATGATAATTTAATATAAGTTGGCAATTTTTCGACTGTATTCATTTTGAATGATCGAGAAAGTTTACTTTTGTGCTTTGTACTCTTTTCAAATAGGTATAGGACCATGAGTGTTAAAAAATTGGAGTTCTATCTTAAAAGGTCAACATTGTTAAGAGGGTAGCCCAAAACTTTATAAGTTGGTCTATATTTATATCTTTATGTGATGTGGGACATTTTATCCCTTAACATATCCGTACAAGATGGTGACTTGTTTGAGCAGATCAATCTTAAAATTCGTGTACTCATTTTTAGAGTCTTAACTGGATCGAATTGCTCGTTGAAATTTAATGAGCTCTGATACAATATTAGGACTTGATGCTCCATTTTAAAAGGTCAACCTTCTTAAAAAGAATAATTCAAGATCTTATAAGTTGATCTATATTTATATTTTTATTTGATGTGGGACATTGTATCCCTTAACAATTAGATGCAACAATCTTTGTTAGACATGATTGACTCATTGATTGTGTAACTTCAAGCTTTATGAAAATTTAGACTTGTGGCTTACAAATAGATGACAATAAATTGACTTTCTTTTCTTCTTTTTAGTTGTTGAATTTTATCATATCCGTCTAGTACACAAAAGTTCGACCATGAATACCTACGAAATTAAGAAAGTCAATCTAGTGACAACTAAAACTGGTTAAATATAAGATACATTGTCATTCTTATTTTGTCAACTGACTCAATCACCTTCCAAACACTCTCATCAAACGACACAACCAAATTACAACATGGATTATAACAGACTCATCAAACTACACAACCACGCAGACTCATCAAATTGAACAACCAAATTAAAACATAGACACAAAATCAACGAGTTTTGATGACTCGTAACGATACTAAATCCTTAGTTTAATTTCTTCAGAGTACAATGTACATTCCAATGAAATATTTACCAATGAGTAATGTCCGAATAAAATGTGGATCTGATCATAGTAACGAGGGAAGGAAGCTGAAGTATGACATACAAGATCACAGGTATGCAAGAGAGTGTGATTATTGGTGTGAGAAGCAGGACATTTTTTTTAGCAAATACAAGGAATAACGTACAACTAAAGGCCATCACTAAACATATGAGAGAGAAGAACAAAGAAATTAGACCGACAATCACTCTGATGGGCAAGTCAAAAAGATAGTCACGAACTTTATAGCGGGAGGTGTAAATGGATAAGAAGGACAGAACACTAGTGATAGAGAAAAAAAGTGCAAGGGCGTCTGAAATGGCGAAGACTTTGAAGAAACCTTCATTGGAGAAATTGGGTATGCCAGTAGAATGGTTTCCTCCGGGTACTTGGAATGCGGCAGCAAACGCCACTGTGGCAATGAGTGATGCTGCAACTGAGCTTGCATTTGCCATTCCTGTCATCCATTCTTTGTCTTTTGCAGCCATGTCAGCGTGATGTTCTTCAAAGCTGACAAGTGGTATCTCGGGAAGATCGAGCTCTGGATTTTCCTTCTTAGGAGATTTTTTAAACTTTACGAGCTCGGTCATTTTCTGCATCAATCGGGAAATTTGGTCCAAGATCAATTTTCGTATTCGATGAGGGTGCAAAATGGAAAAACTGGTCAGTGATTTATAACCTGAAATGGTTAAGAGAGAATGTTTTGTACCAGTTTCAAAAAAAGATTCGTTTTTTAAGTGCTACATTATTCCAGTGAATGCAGTATGTAGATGAAGGTAACAACGTCTCCTATAATTTCAATTAGAAATCCATTCTCAAACATTTTTTTTTGTGGAGTTCACTACTTTCAAATTCGAGTGGAGGCAAAAACAGGCAATTCTTTTTAGGCCTGAGCTTAAACAGAAGGCACGTAAGAATATTAATATTACCATAAACCACTGAAGTTCACGCTGCATTTTAAAAACAACTCCGGAGTCGGTACCAATTCCAGCTTGATGCCCTGCTTCTTCCACAAAATCCAATACGCTCTTTTCCTTTTCGTTAAGCATTCGAAGGTACTGCCCATTCCGTATATTCTTCTCATACAACATCTTAAAAATTTTTACATGACGGTACATTACAGCAACATGAAATGCTGTCCGGTGCCTACCTTCATTCTTTATTGCAGTAGGATAAGAATCTATAATTGTACGGACAATCTCTTCTATTCCATTCTGTGCTCCAAGAAGAAATGTCTTCTCCAATGGGTAACCAGTCTCGTCAGCAATTTTGCACAAGGATTCGAACAGTTGAAGTGCACATTGATGCTTCCATTTTAGTGCAGGAATGTCCTCTATATTTAGCACTGCATTTGCAACAAAACCAGCCAATTACTTCACGACTAAATAATCTCATCCGTTTCTAGGTTAAGTGACTGCATACGGATATTCTTACTTAGAACTTGTGCAAGCACATTCCAGAACTTCGCCTTGTATACTGCAAAACAAAATAAAACCAACCTTTTGTGAAGACCTTGATTTAAACATGGAGTGGTGTCGAGGAGGAGGAATTTCATACCTGCATATGTTGAATGCTTTGTCCTCGAAATATGCTTCGAGGGAATAGCTGCAGTACAAAAGAAAAATCTAAAACTAATATACAAGAAAGTAAAGTGAAAGATGAACCTGAGTAAAGCTAAGGGTGGTAAACAGGATCTGCAAGAGAAATTTATTCCGTTGCAGGCATAGGTTGCCCATAAGCTATTTTAAGACGCTATCCATTTACTTTGAACACCCTACCATCATTAGGATCCTCAATTTCAACCATCCTATTTTCAAAAGTTCGTGTTACCACAAAGGGGTTAGTCTACCTAGAACTAAGTTTTCTAGCATGGTTGTGGAGTCTAGAATCATACAAATACACTTTTTGATTTGGTTCAAAAGTCTTTCTCAAAATGTGTTTATCATGAAAATCTTTTATTTTTTCCTTGTAGATTCTAGAGCTCTCGTAGGCCTCATTTCTCAACTCCTCTAACTCAACCAATTGAAATTTCCTAAGCTTACCTCCCTCCTCTAGGTCGAAATTAAAATGTTTAATAGCCCAATATGCTCGGTGTTCAAGCTCCATAGGTAAATGGCAAGGCTTTCCAAAAATAAGTCTATATGGTGACATGCCTAGGGAAGTCTTAAAAGCAGTACGGTAAGCCCAAAGTGCATCACTTAATCTTAAAAACCAATCTTTACGATTAGGATTCACCGTTTTTTCCAAAATTTGTTTAATTTTCCTATTAGCCAATTCTACATGTCCACTAGTTTGGGGGTGGTAAGCAGTAGAGATTTTATGAATAACTCCATATTTTTCCATTAGTGCTTCGAATGAATGGTTGCAAAAGTTTGTACCTCTGTCCTTTCCTGAAGAAAACTCATGCAGAGGTTGCAAAAATCGGATGTAATAAATAAAATTAAAATTAAAAAAGAAGCTCGTGATTTCTCCGTTACTCACTTCTAACATCCGTTTCCTGTGAAGTCGACGCCATCTTCTTCACAAATGATCTCCTAACTCTGTGTTCAGAGTGTGTTTGCAATAATCTCTAAAACTAACCCTCCTTTTATATATAGACAACACTTGAATTTGACTCTACTTAGATTTCATTCTTTTTTGAAAACGTGTTTATTCAAGTCGATGGAAAATATCGTGTCAACAAATACTTATAATATATGCTAAAATCTGAAATAATAAAGACCAAAGGAGTGCTTGGTGATGACTATCTTGGAATTGGTTTAAAAAAATAATAATAATCGAAAATTGGTTAAGTGTGAAACTGGAAAAATGAAAAGGTGCGACTTCGTGTCAAATTTGACCAGATATTCGGACTTGATCAAATAGTCAAATTACAAAAGTAAATAGAGCAACTTATTTTACTCTTCGAGCATATTGTCGTGGTATATTTGAAATCTTGAAACCGATTCCGGATGAATGAAAAATTGCGGTCCACAGGTTTTGAAATGAAGTGTTGCACCTTTTCAAAAGGATGCAGTCTTTGGCCCACACGACTTCATTTGCACCATTTCTACGTCTATAAATGAGACCCTATAGACGTGATTTTAAACACACTATTGCATTGAGTATGCATTCTTCTCTTACAATTCATCTTTCTCTCATTCTCATAATATTCCTTTATAGAAGGAAAATTTCGTCGAAGTTTCATCGTTCTTGCCACAAGTGTGTATCTATTGTATTTTGGAAGACATTTGTCATTCAATCGTGAACACTATAACGGGGTAATTTGTCTTAAAAAAAGAGTTATACTCACCTTGAATTTCTTTTTCTACTCCTTCTTATTTCATTTTCGTTTTGTGTGGTTGTTTTAGTCATATACTTTGTGTCCTTACATTGTGTTCTAATATGCTCCTGCGGGTTGTAACTTTTGCTTACAATAATAGTGTTTCGACTATCTCAAGCACAAATGTAAAGAGATGAACTAGGAAGAGTTGATCGTCCATTTGAGAATTTAGGAAGATAATAAAAAGACCGAGAAGAAGCCTATTGTTCAACTTAGAGCAAACTTCGTTGAAACCAAACCAAAAGTCAACAAGAAGCGAAAGATCTCCGGTGATGCTCCGCGCAGAGATAACTCCAAGAAGGCCAAAAAGTTTAAAAGAAACTGCTATAATTGTGGGAAGGCCGGACATCGCTCAAGCAAATGTCAAAAACAAAAGAAGAATGCACAAACCCACATGGTCGAGAAGAACACCCTATTCGAAGGAATACAAGAGATAAGCCTCTCTGCGGTTATGTCCAAGTGCGATATGATTGGCAACACAAGGAAATGGTAGGTTGACACCGATGCTACCCGCTATGTATGTGCCGATAAAGGAATGTTCTCTAACTATCAAGAATTGAATGGGGAACAACTTTTCATGGGAAACGATGCAAGTTCCAAGATCGAAGAACAAGGCAAAATCACATTGAAGATGACATCCGAGAAAGAGCTTGTCCTCAACAACGCCTTACATGTGCCGGACATACGCAAGAATTTAGTATCCGGGTCTCTACTTAGTAAAAATAGTTTTAAACTTGTATTTGTGTCCACAAGTTTGTGTTATCCAAGAATGAGATGTATGTAGGAAAATGTTATATGTGTGACGGAATGTTCAAGTTGAATGTTCTAACTATTGTACCAAAGCAAGGTGTTATGAATAAAATTACAAATTCTGTTTACTTGCTTGAGTTATCTTGTTTATGGCATGGTCGATTAGGACACTTGAATTATAAATCAATGCTTAAACTTATGAATCAAAGTATTATTCTGGCACTTAAAATTGATCATAATCACAAATGTGAAGTATGTGTTGAAGCAAAAATGGCTAAAACATCATTCCATTCGATATAACGAAACACGATACCTATAGAACTAATTCATAGTGACATATGTGATTTAAAATTTATACAAACTAGAGGCGGTAAGAAGTACTTTATAACTTTCATTAACGATTGTACAAGGTATTGCTATGTCTTTCTTTTAAAAAGTAAAGATGAAGTGTTGGATGCCTTCAAATTATACAAGGCTGGAGTTGAAATGCAACTTAACAAATAAATTAAAATTATTCGTAGTGATAGAGGAGGTGAATATAGGGCACCATTTGAAGAATTCTGTTCCGAACATGGAATCATTCATCAAACAACGGCCCCCTACTCTCATCGATCGAATGGCATTGCAGAACAAAAAAAAAAAAGAACGCTTAAAGGAATGATGAATGCAACGTTGATAAGTTTAGGTTTACCTCAAAATTTGTGGAGAGAAGTCATCTTAATGGCAAATCATCTTCTTAACAGAATACTCCGTAAGAAAATGGAAGAGACTCCATATGAGTTATGGAAATGTCATCCTCAGTCCTATCAACACTTAAAAGTGTGGGGGTGCATGACAAAGGTTGAAGTTCCTAAGCCTAAACAAGTAAAAATCAGACTTAAAACGATTGATTGCATATTTATTAGATACGTCAATAAAAGTAGTGCATATCGTTTCCTTGAATACAAGTCCGAAATTCAAGATGTACACGAGGGTACGATAATTGAATCAAGGAATGCAGCATTCGTTGAAAATGTAATTGCTTGCAAAGACAATGAAATTGAAAGTTCGAATAAGAGAACTTATGAAACTATGAAAGGATCTTCAAGAGAGGAAAAATCAAGGTGTAGTAAAGGGGCTAGAACGTCCATATCCTTTTGTCCGAAATTTCTAACCTACATGGTAGAAAATGACTCGAAGACTTTCGAAGAAGCTATGTCAACTCCGGAAGCACTGCATTGGAAGGAAGCTATCAATAGGGAGATAGATTTCATAATGCAAAATCATAAATGGGAATTGGTTGATTTATCTCTCGAAAATAAGCTTTTAGGATACAAATGGATATTCAAGAAAAGTTGAAACCAGATGGATCCATTGACAAGTATTAGGCTAGGTTGGTTCCCAAAGGGTATAGACAAAAAGAAGGATATGACTTCTTTGATACATACTCACACGTAACTAGAATCACGTCTATAAGATTACTAATTGCAATTGTGGTAATACATAAACTTGAGATTTATCAAATGGATGTTAAAACGGTATTCCTACATGGTGACTTAGAAGAGGAGATATACATGGGACAACCTGAAGGGTTCATTTCTCCTAACCAAAAGGACAAAGTTTGTAAACTCGTGAAGTCTTTTTTGGTTTGAAACAAACTCCGAAACAATAGCACCAAAAGTTTGACAAAATGATGTTATCAAACGGATTCAAAATAAATGAATGTGACAAATGTATATACATGAAAAATACACCAAATGTCTATGTAATAAAATGTCTTTACGTAGAAGATATGTTGATAATGGGCAATAATCACGAAGCGCTACTCAACACCAAAAGAATGTTAGTGAAGCACTTCGATACGAAAGACATGGGTATAGCCGATGTGATTTTAGAAATTAAAATTAGTAAAACATCAGAAGGACTTACACCTTCTCAGTCACATTACATTGAGAAAGTACTTAAAAAATATGAAGTATTCGAGGAAAGTCCTTCACAAAC